TTTCAATCTTCTGTCTGTCATCGCTGTGTGTTGTATGTGCCCACATTAGGTGAAACTATTGTCTGAAGACTGTTCCCATATATGCATGATTCAAAGTTGTATTTGTCCACCTATCTTTCATGTAGCATACATATTGTTTCTCCTGCAAGTTTAATTTCCTGTTCTGAAATAATTTTTTTTCAGAATAAGCAGCACCAACAGGAGCAGTTTCATGACAACACACTATCCAAATTGTATTTCTTCTAACACATCTCCACACAAACAGAAAACTTTCCCCGCTGTCTCCACATAAACAGAAAACTTTCCCCGATGTCTCCACATAAACAGATAAATTTCCCCCATATCTCAACATTAACAGAAAACTTTCCCCAATGTCTCCACAGAAACAGAAAACTTTCCCCAATGTCTCCACATAAACAGAAAACTTTCCACAATGTCTCCACATAAACAGAAAACTTTCCCCAATGTCTCCACATAAACAGAAAATTTTCCCCGATGTCTCCACATAAACAGAAAACTTTCCCCCATATCTCAACATTAACAGCAAACTTTCCCCAATGTCTCCACATAAACAGCAAACTTTCCCCAATGTCTCCACATAAACAGCAAACTTTCCCCGATGTCTGCACATTAACAGCACTTTACTTTCTAGTCTGTAAAGCTCAAGTAGCTATGCAAGTTACTATGGCAACAGTGAGTATACAATGGAAATAAGCACTGAGGATTGCAGGTGAAACACAAGGAAAGCACACATTATTTCTGGCAAACTTCCATTATAACATTCCCTGATTAATAAGGGTCAGCATTATTGCACTTATAAAACACTGTATCCCTTACAGGATGTTACAGGACCAACCCCAGCATTGTTGCACTTATTAAACACTATATCCCTTACAGGATGTTACAGAACTAACCCCAGCATTGTTGCACTTATAAAACACTGTATCCCTTACAGGATGTTACAGAACCAACCCCAGCATTGTTGCACTTATTAAACACTATATCCCTTACAGGATGTTACAGGACCAACCCCAGCATTGTTTAGCTACTGCTACTGAACGGTCAGCTGTGGGTACCACTGTCGAAATCAACGCAAGACAAACCATTTTACGAAGCATGTCCACAACGTCTAAGCCATAGACGCCGACTTAGCACTCAGGGTTTTCTTCTTTGTTATTTCTTCACTTTGTCTTTTCCGGTCAAATCTTCTAGCACTAAAAGAGATGATTCCAAAAAATGTTCAGACTTTCTACATAAATACTGCTCTACTTTAGCCAACTAGTTTAAAGCAAATGATCCGTTACTGTGTGCTGGTTTTAAGAAATCTTCAAGGATCCTGTATTGCAGCTGTGTAATTATGACCTGATTACATGTTTTGTTCATTATTATATGAGGAGGTTTAAATCTTCCTAATGGAGGCTAGTCTATCTAAGTGAGGGTATGTCAGACTTTATTATGGCTAGATGCTGGTTTGTCTAAGTGAGGGTATGTCAGACTTTATTATAGTAGGATGCTAGTCTGTCTAAGTGAGGGTATGTCAGACTTTATTATGGTTGGATGCTAGTCTGTCTAAGTGAGGGTATGTCAGACCTTATTATGGCTAGAGGCTAGTCTGTCTAAGTGAGGGTATGTCAGACTTGATTATAGTAGGATGCTAGTCTGTCTAAGTGAGGGTATGTCAGACTTTATTATGGTAGGATGCTAGTCTGTCTAAGTGAGGGTATGTCAGACTTTATTATGGTTGGATGCTAGTCTGTCTAAGTGAGGGTATGTCAGACTTTATTATGACTAGATGCTAGTCTGTCTAAGTGAGGGTATGTCAGACTTGATTATCGTAGGATGCTAGTTTGTCTAAGTGAAGGTATGTCAGACTTTATTATGGTTGGATGCTAGTTTGTCTAAGTGAGGGTATGTCAGACTTTATTATGGTAGGATGCTAGTCTGTCTAAGTGAGGGTATGTCAGACTTTATTATGGCTAGATGCTAGTCTAAGTGAGGGTATGTCAGACTTTATTATGGCTAGATGCTAGTCTAAGTGAGGGTATGTCAGACTTTATTATGGTAGGATGCTAGTCTGTCTAAGTGAGGGTATGTCAGACTTTATTATGGCTAGATGCTAGTCTGTCTAAGTGAGGGTATGTCAAACTTGATTATAGTAGGATGCTAGTCTGTCTAAGTGAGGGTATGTCAGACTTTATTATGGTAGGATGCTAGTCTGTCTAAGTGAGCGTATGTCAGACTTTATTATGGTTGGATGCTAGTCTGTCTAAGTGAGGGTATGTCAGACTTTATTATGGCTAGATGCTAGTCTGTCTAAGTGAGGGTATGTCAGACTTGATTATGGTAGGATGCTAGTTTGTCTAAGTGAGGGTATGTCAGACTTTATTATGGTTGGATGCTAGTCTGTCTAAGTGAGGGTATGTCAGAATTTATTATGGCTAGATGCTAGTCTAAGTGAGGGTATGTCAGACTTTATTATGGCTAGATGCTAGTCTAAGTGAGGGTATGTCAGACTTTATTATGGTAGGATGCTAGTCTGTCTAAGTGAGGGTATGTCAGACTTTATTATGGCTAGATGCTAGTTTGTCTAAGTGAGGGTATGTCAGACTTTATTATGGTAGGATGCTAGTCTGTCTAAGTGAGGGTATGTCAGACTTTATTATGGCTAGATGCTAGTCTAAGTGAGGGTATGTCAGACTTTATTATGGCTAGATGCTAGTCTAAGTGAGGGTATGTCAGACTTTATTATGGTAGGATGCTAGTCTGTCTAAGTGAGGGTATGTCAGACTTTATTATGGCTAGATGCTAGTTTGTCTAAGTGAGGGTATGTCAGACTTTATTATGGTAGGATGCTAGTCTGTCTAAGTGAGGGTATGTCAGACTTTATTATGGCTAGATGCTAGTCTAAGTGAGGGTATGTCAGACTTTATTATGGCTAGATGCTAGTCTAAGTGAGGTTATGTCAGACTTTATTATGGTAGGATGCTAGTCTGTTTATTTGAGGGTATGTCAGACTTTATTATGGCTAGATGCTAGTCTAAGTGAGGGTTTGTCAGACTTTATTATGGCTAGATGCTAGTCTAAGTGAGGGTATGTCAGACTTTATTATGGCTAGATGCTAGTCTAAGTGAGGGTATGTCAGACTTTATTATGGTAGGATGCTAGTCTGTCTAAGTGAGGGTATGTCAAACTTTATTATAGCTAGATGCTAGTTTGTCTAAGTGAGTGTATGTCAGACTTTATTATGGCTAGATGCTAGTCTAAGTGAGGGTATGTCAGACTTTATTATGGCTAGATGCTAGTCTAAGTGAGGGTATGTCAGACTTTATTTTTGTAGGATGCTAGTCTGTCTAAGTGAGGGTATGTCAGACTTTATTATGGCTAGATGCTACTCTAAGTGAGGGTATGTCAGACTTTATTATGGCTAGATGCTAGTCTAAGTGAGGGTATGTCAGACTTTATTTTTGTAGGATGCTAGTCTGTCTAAGTGAGGGTATGTCAGACTTTATTATGGCTAGATGCTACTCTAAGTGAGGGTATTTCAGACTTTATTATGGCTTGATGCTACTCTAAGTGAGGGTATGTCAGACTTTATTATGGCTAGATGCTACTCTAAGTGAGGGTATGTCAGACTTTATTATGGTAGGATGCTAGTCTGTCTAAGTGAGGGTATGTCAGACATTATTATGGCTAGATGCTAGTCTAAGTGAGGGTATGTCAGACTTTATTATGGCTAGATACTAGTCTGTCTAAGTGAGGGTATGCGAGCCTTTATTATGGTAGGATGCTAGTCTGTCTAAGTGAGTGTATGTCAGACTTTATTATGGTAGGATGCTAGTCTGTCTAAGTGAGCGTATGTCAGACTTTATTATGGTAGGATGCTAGTCTGTCTAAGTGAGTGTATGTCAGACTTTATTATGGTAGGATGCTAGTCTGTCTAAGTAAGGGTATGTGAGCCTTTATTATGGTAGGATGCTAATCTGTCTAAATGAGTGTATGTCAGACTTTTTATGGTTGGAGGCTAGTCTGTCTAAGTGAAGGTATGTGAGCCTTTATTATGGTAGGATGCTAGTCTATGTGAGAGTATGTCAGACTTTATTATGGTTGGAGGCTAGTCTGTCTAAGTGAGGGTATGTGAGCCTTTATTATGGCTAGATGCTAGTCTGTGTGAGGGTATATGTAGATACTAATATGTCAAAGTAAGAATATGTAAGTCTATTTTATGGCTAGATGCTAGTCTAAGTGAGGGCATGTCAACCTATTTTATGGCTAGATGCTAGTCTGTCTGAGTAAGGCTATGTCACCTTTATTATGGTTGGATATTACAAACGTACAAAGTTTTGAGATAGTATATGTTGCTTTGTCGTATCTTTCAACCCTTCCTTAACTGTATTATGTTAATGTCGGAATCCTAACATTGCAGAATCAGAAAACAATTTGCATTAACAACAGTTGTGCAAGCCGGTAGCAGTGGAAGGATATTGAACAAACAACCAGGCAGCAAGTTAGCAAGCATTTCCAGGTAAGCCAAGCTAAGACTTACTTGTACCAGGCCAGCGATCCAAGGACACAAGTGGTAGACAAGCTGTTAGAGCTAACTTAACCATATGTAGGTGTCAATAAAGTCAGGCTGCTTCAGATGGAGCACATAATTATACATAGGATGCAACACAACATTTGGAGCACAAGAATTCTATATGTGATGCTGTGCAACAGACAGGTCTGACATAAACTCACTTGTTTGATTATTGCTTACACATTCTCTGCCCTACTCTGTACATGGACCCACTCCAACAAACTAGTGACTCACCTATTCTGTACATGGACCCACTCCAACAAACTAGTGACTCGCCTATTCTGTACATGGACCCACTCCAACAAACTAGTGACTCGCCTACTCTGTACATGAACCCACTCCAACAAACTGGTAACATGCTTATTCTGTACATGAACCCACTCCAACAAACTGGTGACTCAGCCTTCTCTGTACATGAACCCACTCCAACAAACTGTGACTCTAACATGTTGTCCAGTATTACTGTTACTGGAAATGTTTACACATTTAATGCTAGGAGAATGCTAACACAGTTAGTAATAGAAGAATGATAGCACAGTTAGTAGTAGAACAGTGCTAACACAGTTAGTAATAGAAGAATGATAGCACAGTTAGTAGTAGAAGAGTGCTAACACAGTTAGTAGTAGAAGAGTGCTAACACAGTTAGTAGTAGAAGAGTGATAGCACAGTTAGTAGTAGAAGAGTGCTAACACAGTTAGTAGTAGAAGAGTGCTGACACAGTTAGTAGTAGAAGAGTGCTAACACAGTTAGTAGTAGAAGAGTGCTGACACAGTTAGTAGTAGAAGAGTGTTAACACAGTTAGTAGTAGAAGAGTGCTGACACAGTTAGTAGTAGAAGAGTGCTAACACAGTTAGTAGTAGAAGAGTGCTAACACAGTTAGTAGTAGAAGAGTGCTGACACAGTTAGTAGTAGAAGAGTGCTGACACAGTTAGTAGTAGAAGAATGATAGCACAGTTAGTAGTAGAAGAGTGCTGACACAGTTAGTAGTAGAAGAGTGCTAACACAGTTAGTAGTAGAAGAGTGCTTACACAGTTAGTAGTAGAAGAGTGCTAACACAGTTAGTAGTAGAAGAGTGCTAACACAGTTAGTAGTAGAAGAGTGATAGCACAGTTAGTAATAAAAGAATGCTAACACAGTTAGTAGTAGAAGAGTGCTAACACAGTTAGTAGTAGAAGAGTGCTGACACAGTTAGTAGTAGAAGAGTGCTAACACAGTTAGTAGTAGAAGAATGCTAACACAGTTAGTAGTAGAAGAGTGCTAACACAGTTAGTAGTAGAAGAGTGCTGACACAGTTACTAGTAGAAGAGTGCTAACACAGTTAGTAGTAGAAGAGTGCTGACACAGTTAGTAGTAGAAGAGTGCTGACACAGTTAGTAGTAGAATAGTGCTGGCACAGTTAGTAGTAGAAGAGTGCTGACACAGTTAGTAGTAGAAGAATGCTAACACAGTTAGTAGTAGAAGAGTGCTAACACAGTTAGTAGTAGAAGAGTGCTGACACAGTTAGTAGTAGAAGAGTGCTGACACAGTTAGTAGTAGAAGAGTGCTAACACAGTTAGTAGTAGAAGAGTGCTAACACAGTTAGTAGTAGAAGAGTGCTAACACAGTTAGTATTAGAAGAGTGCTAACACAGTTAGTAGTAGAAGAGTGCTAACACAGTTAGTAGTAGAAGAGTGATAGCACAGTTAGTAGTAGAAGAGTGCTAACACAGTTAGTAGTAGAAGAGTGCTAACACAGTTAGTAGTAGAAGAGTGCTAACACAGTTAGTAGTAGAAGAGTGCTAACACAGTTAGTAGTAGAAGAGTGATAGCACAGTTAGTAGTAGAAGAGTGCTAACACAGTTAGTAGTAGAAGAGTGCTAACACAGTTAGTAGTAGAAGAGTGCTGACACAGTTAGTAGTAGAAGAGTGCTGACACAGTTAGTAGTAGAATAGTGCTGGCACAGTTAGTAGTAGAAGAGTGCTGACACAGTTAGTAGTAGAAGAATGCTAACACAGTTAGTAGTAGAAGAGTGCTAACACAGTTAGTAGTAGAAGAGTGCTGACACAGTTAGTAGTAGAAGAGTGCTGACACAGTTAGTAGTAGAAGAGTGCTAACACAGTTAGTAGTAGAAGAGTGCTAACACAGTTAGTAGTAGAAGAGTGCTAACACAGTTAGTATTAGAAGAGTGCTAACACAGTTAGTAGTAGAAGAGTGCTAACACAGTTAGTAGTAGAAGAGTGATAGCACAGTTAGTAGTAGAAGAGTGCTAACACAGTTAGTAGTAGAAGAGTGCTAACACAGTTAGTAGTAGAAGAGTGCTAACACAGTTAGTAGTAGAAGAGTGCTAACACAGTTAGTAGTAGAAGAGTGATAGCACAGTTAGTAGTAGAAGAGTGCTAACACAGTTAGTAGTAGAAGAGTGCTAACACAGTTAGTAGTAGAAGAGTGCTAACACAGTTAGTAGTAGAAGAGTGCTAACACAGTTAGTAGTAGAAGAGTGATAACACAGTTAGTAGTAGAAGAGTGCTGACACAGTTAGTAGTAGAAGAGTGCTGACACAGTTAGTAGTAGAAGAGTGCTGACACAGTTAGTAGTAGAAGAGTGCTGACACAGTTAGTAGTAGAAGAGTGCTAACACAGTTAGTAGTAGAAGAGTGCTAACACAGTTAGTAGTAGAAGAGTGATAGCACAGTTAGTAGTAGAAGAGTGCTAACACAGTTAGTAGTAGAAGAGTGCTAACACAGTTAGTAGTAGAAGAGTGCTAACACAGTTAGTAGTAGAAGAGTGCTAACACAGTTAGTAGTAGAAGAGTGATAACACAGTTAGTAGTAGAAGAGTGCTAACACAGTTAGTAGTAGAAGAGTGCTGACACAGTTAGTAGTAGAAGAGTGCTGACACAGTTAGTAGTAGAAGAGTGCTGACACAGTTAGTAGTAGAAGAGTGCTAACACAGTTAGTAGTAGAAGAATGCTGACACAGTTAGTAGTAGAAGAGTGCTAACACAGTTAGTAGTAGAAGAGTGCTGACACAGTTAGTAGTAGAAGAATGATAGCACAGTTAGTAGTAGAAGAGTGCTGACACAGTTAGTAGTAGAAAAATGATAGCACAGTTAGTAGTAGAAGAGTGCTGACACAGTTAGTAGTAGAAGAGTGCTGACACAGTTAGTAGTAGAAGAGTGCTGACACAGTTAGTAGTAGAAGAATGATAGCACAGTTAGTAGTAGAAGAATGCTAACACAGTTAGTAGTAGAAGAGTGCTAACACAGTTAGTAGTAGAAGAGTGCTGACACAGTTAGTAGTAGAAGAGTGCTAACACAGTTAGTAGTAGAAGAGTGCTAACACAGTTAGTAGTAGAAGAGTGCTAACACAGTTAGTAGTAGAAGAATGATAGCACAGTTAGTAGTAGAAGAGTGCTAACACAGTTAGTAGTAGAAGAGTGCTGACACAGTTAGTAGTAGATGAGTGCTGACACAGTTAGTAGTAGAAGAGTGCTGACACAGTTAGTAGTAGAAGAGTGCTGACACAGTTAGTAGTAGAAGAATGCTAACACAGTTAGTAGTAGAAGAGTGCTAATGCAGTTAGTAGTAGAAGAATGCTAACACAGTTAGTAGTAGAAGAGTGCTGACACAGTTAGTAGTAGAAGAGTGCTGACACAGTTAGTAGTAGAAGAGTGCTAACACAGTTTGTAGTAGAAGAATGATAGCACAGTTAGTAGTAGAAGAGTGCTAACACAGTTAGTAGTAGAAGAATGCTAGCACAGTTAGTAGTAGAAGAGTGCTGACACAGTTAGTAGTAGAAGAATGCTAACACAGTAAGTAGTAGAAGAGTGCTAATGCAGTTAGTAGTAGAAGAGTGCTGACACAGTTAGTAGTAGATGAGTGCTGACACAGTTAGTAGTAGAAGAATGTTAACATAGTAGGAGAAAGTTAGCATAGCAATAGTAAAACATTGATTGAGAGGGCAGTTTATGTTTGGAAAATGTTAACACAGAGTACAGTTAGTGCAAAGAAAATGTTAATAGAGAAGAAAGTTAATACCGGAAAAATATGACCAGTACAGTGAGTGTAGAAAAAAAAGTTAATATTTATTAGACATAGAAAAACTAGAATAAATTAAGACCATGTCAGTTGGTGTCTAAGCTATACAACTCTGACACAGAAACAGTCTAACAACATCAACTCAACCAGACTCTGCAGTTAGTACATCAGTGCAAACATGTGTGATGTATGTGATGTGAGATGTATGTGATGTGAGATGTATGTGATGTATGATGTATGTGATGTGAGATGTATGTGATGTGAGATGTATGTGATGTGAGATGTGTGTGATGTGTGATGTATGTGATGTGAGATGTATGTGATGTGAGATGTATGTGATGTGAGATGTATGTGATGTGAGATGTATGTGATGTGAGATGTATGTGATGTGAGATGTATTTGATGTGAGATGTGTGTGATGTGGTTATTTATTGCAGGTTGCAGAGAAAGACTAAATCAACGTGTCAGTGCAGAGATATTAACTGTAATCACTGGTGTAGAAAACAAGATCTGTCCAGAATGTTTTCTCTTCTAGTTAACACAATATCTGAGATCTGTCCAAATTATTATCTCTTCTAGTAAATACAATATCTGAGATCTGTCCAAATTGTTGTCTCTTTTAGTAAACACAATATCTGAGATCTGTCCAAATTGTTATCTCTTCTAGTAAACACAATATCTGAGATCTGTCCAGATTGTTATTTTTGACAGCTGTAAAACATACAAATATAATGCCAACAGTTGTAGGCTGGTATAATAGTTATATTATCACAGCTGACATCACTGCACTTTGGGCCATCCCTTGTGTGCTCAGTCCTCGAATGCATCAGCCACTCCATGGTACCTCTTCTAATTTTTCCCATGAGAAGTTAGTTATACACAGCATAGACATGCTTCACTAAACTTTACTTCCAGGTCATGCTATTGTGTTAGCATTAAAGATTCAACATTATCCCTCAGCCTAGTCTGTACAGCGTTGATAATATCAGCGCTGTCTTTTCTTCTTCCCACTTGCATCGGTGCATTACCTGCCAGCTGGTCAGCTCTTTTATTAGCTTTTACTCCTACATCCCCAGGTTTGTAGATCTGGATGATGGAGATAAATGCAACTTCTGAATGCTTTCTACCCAATTAGAGCATAAATTACCTCTTGCGATTTACTGAAGCATTTTCATAGAGTTTGAAACAATTACCAAATATATGGCAGCTTGTTCTGCTACCCATGCTAGTGCTCTGGAGGCAGCAGTTAACTCCATGGTCATGTTTGGTGTTGTTGTCTGTTAAGTTCTCCAATAATCCTTTTTCAGTGTTTTCCCCAAACTTTGTGCTGTGTATGCCCATGTTAAGCTTTATCCACAGTTCACGGACCTATGTGTGCTAATGATGATGTATTCTGGACAAAGGTCAATATCTTACAATAGGGTTTAGTGTAATATAGACTACAAGCGTGGATAGTGAAATATGCAGACAGTTGAAATATAGAGAAGTTAAAATACAGAGACCGTTAAAATATAGAGACAGTTAAAATACAGAATGGTAAGGTGACTGGTGAAAGTATAGACTGGAAATGTGGCTGGTGAGATGTTGAGTGAAAGTAAATGAGGACAGAATGACAGATTAGTGTCTGGTTAAAGCTATGTTAAAACTTTGAATCATGAAGCCATGCCAGTTGCAGTGCAAGAATAAATTATAATTCACAAAAAATAACAATAAAATTGTGCTAGTGACTGGGTAAGAGCTTGCAGGAAGCTGGGATCTGTGGCCAGGTAAATGATGCACATGTCAGCCAAACATCCAAACACCATCACATGATAAGCGATAGTAAAAGCAGTTGTCAAATATTAAATATACTCCATCATCAATGTTGTAACCAGAATAGTTAAAATAAATAATTATCATAATGGGATAACACTGATCAAGATCGGATCTATAATGATAAAGATTGTGGTGACAATAATCAGGACTGGAGATATAATGATTGCAACTGAAGGTGATAATCATGAATGTTGAGGTCAAAATTAGGGTAATGATCAATTCTGGGATGATAGGAAAATTCACAAAACTTTTCTACAAGGTAACAAATTCAGTGTCAATCAGTAAATGTCACCACCAACAATCAACAATGAATTAAAACTGTGCTCAAGACTCAGTGTATGAGTTGGGGTCAGAATAAATTGGTTTAAATTTGGTTAAATCTAGGTCATCATTAGTGAAAACAGTTGCCTCTCTGTCAACCTCTGACCCTAAACCAGAACTTTCTTCACAAAACTGAGATATTAACCTTTGAACTGTTGCGATGGGCATGCAGATGGTCTTCCTGGTCACTAGTAGTGTCCCTTTCAAGACTTCCAGGACAGACTCGGACACATCCAGTTTCATGAGGTCATCTTGCAGCATGTTAGTTGGGTGACACTCGTCGATGAATCTTCTCAGTGGCCAGACCCGCTGTTCTCTGTAAGGTAGCTGATTAGGAAACAGAAGCTCCCACAGCAAGAGTCCAAATGCGTAGATATCGTCTGTACTTTCATACTCATGTCCCTGCAGGACATTTGGGGACAAGCAGACACAAGTCCGTGTGACTGTGCTGAGGCTGGTGGGAAATCTGGCCTCACGAGGCTTACACATCTGGCACAACTTCACATTGCCAGTTAGTCGCTCCACCTACATGGAAACAGAAGAAATGTTGTCATAGTTTCTATAGCAACAACAACCACAGGCAGGCACATTTTAAGGGACAAACCCAAAACAAAGCATTAACTTCATACATTTTTAGAGACAACACTCCATAAATAGCATAAACCTCATACATTTAGTCTGATCTGAACATAATTCAGCATTTCACTGTATAGTAGCAACTAGTGAATGGGAACAGCTAGTGTATGGGAACACCTAATGTATAGTAACAACTAATTTATGGGAACAACTAGTGTGTGGGAACAACTAGTGTATGGGAACAGCTAGTGTATGGGAACAACTAGTGTATGGAAACACCTAATGTATAGTAACAACTAATTTATATGGGAACAACTAGTGTGTGGGAACAACTAGTGTATGGTAACAACTAGTGTATGGTAACAATTAGTGTAAGGTAACAACTAGTGTATGGTAACAACTAGTCTATGGTAACAACTAGTGTATGGTAACAACTAGTCTATGGTAACAACTAGTGTATGGGAACAACTAGTCTATGGTAACAACTAGTGTATGGTAACAACTAGTGTATGGTAACAACTAGTGTATGGTAACAATTAGTGTAAGGTAACAACTAGTGTATGGTAACAACTAGTGTATGGTAACAACTAGTGTATGGTAACAACTAGTGTATGGTAACAACTAGTGTATGGTAACAGCTTGTGTATGGTAACAACTAGTGTATGGTAACAACTAGTGTATGGGAACAACTAGTGTATGGGAACAACTAGGGTATGGGAACAACTAATGTATGGTAACAACTAGTTTATGGTAACAACTAGTGTATGGTAACAACTAGTTTATGTAACAACTAGTGTAATGGAACAACTAGTGTATGGGAACAACTAGGGTATGGGAACAACTAATGTATGGTAACAACTAGTTTATGGTAACAACTAGTGTATGGTAACAACTAATGTATGGTAACAACTAGTTTATGGTAACAACTAGTGTATGGTAACAACTAGTGTATGGTAACAACTAGTGTATGGTAACAACTAGTGTATGGTAACAATTAGTGTAAGGTAACAACTAGTGTATGGTAACAACTAGTGTATGGGAACAACTAGTGTATGGGAACAACTAATGTATGGGAACAACTAGTGTATGGTAACAACTAGTGTATGGGAACAACTAATGTATAGGGACAACTAGTGTGTGGTAACAACTAATGTATGGGAACAACTAGTGTATGGTAACAACTAGTGTATGGTAACAACTAGTTTATGGTAACAACTAGTGTATGGTAACAACTAGTGTATGGTAACAACTAGTGTATGGTAACAACTAGTGTATGGTAACAACTAGTGTATGGTAACAACTAGTGTATGGTAACAGCTAGTTTATGGTAACAACTAGTGTATGGTAACAACTAGTGTATGGTAACAACTAATGTATGGTAACAACTAATGTATGGTAACAACTAGTGTATGGTAACAACTAATGTATGGTAACAACTAGTGTGTGGTAACAACTAGTGTATGGGAACAACTAGTGTATGGTAACAACTAGTGTATGGGAACAACTAGTGTATGGGAACAACTAGTGTATGGGAACAACTAGTGTATGGGAACAACTAGTGTATGGGAACAACTAGTGTATGGGAACAACTAGTGTATGGTAACAACTAGTGTATGGAAACAACTAATGTGTGGGAACAACTAGTGTATGGTAACAACTAGTGTATGGGAACAACTAGTGTATGGTAACAACTAGTGTATGGTAACAACTAGTGTATGGTAACAACTAATGTATGGTAACAACTAATGTAAGGGAACAACTAATGTATGGTAACAACTAGTGTATGGGAACAACTAGTGTATGGTAACAACTAGTGTATGGTAACAACTAGTTAGTTAGTTAGTTAGTTAGTTGGGTTATCCTCATTGCACTCCGGACATGTCCATAGGTGCTCAGATCCTCCCCTCAGTATGAACCCCAACGTCCGATGGCTAATAGTACCAGTTCTATGTTGATTAACAAGTCTTCTGGCGTAGCTGGTGTCCGTCTCGTTTTTTGCTGTGCCGATCTTAATTCCCAAGTCTGCCATTCTGGCGAGTGATCTGGATTCACTGCCACCAAAGTCGTCTATCCTTCCCATTTCTCTGAGGGCATTGATAATATCAGCATGATCCATAGGCTGACCGTCGGTAGTGATAGCGGATCCAGGCAACCTGTCAGCTCTTTCATTTCCATCGACGCCTGCGTGTCCCGGAACAAAAATAAAGGTGACTCCACGGACAGTGGACTTCTGTAATGATTCAAGCCATTGTCTTCGCACTGTACCTGCCTGAACCCTCCGGATCATACTCATTGAATCACTGAGTATACACACGCGGGTGTATTTTTGTGTTTCAAGCCAGGCAAGCGCTTGTGTCACTGCCATCACCTCCATCGTCATGCTGCTGGTTGTCATGGAGAAGGCGCCGTTGACTTCTTTGACTGTTCTGCCCGCTGAGCGTGCTGTAAATGCCCATGCGCTTTTTCTTTGGCGTATAACGGATCCGTCTGTATAGATTATTGCATCTGCTTCTTCTGAATTTTCACCGATGAGAGCGTTGACCTCTGCATTAACAACAACAGGATTCTCTTCTCTACATCGCCTGTTGAGTGTGACAATACAGGAAAATGTACAAATAAACGTTTGAGGCACAGGTATCCATTCTGCACCAGGTATGATGTCGGTTAGGCTGCATATTAGCCTAATAACATCTTCTGCCCGACCTAGCCACGATTTCCCCCTCTTCAGTCTGTCGCCCTTTTCAGTAAAAAGCGCTTGATGCAGTGGGTGTTTCTTATCAGCACATATTTTGAGATATGCCCGAGCCCTCCACATCCTGATCCTTTGGTTCATTGTTGGAAAGTCAAGTAGATACCTCATTGCTCCACAGGATGTGTCTCTAGTGGTAACAACTAGTGTATGGGAACAACTAATGTATGGTAACAACTAATGTAAGGGAACAACTAATGTATGGTAACAACTAATGTATGGTAACAACTAGTGTATGGTAACAACTAGTGTATGGTAACAACTAGTGTATGGGAACAACCAATGTATGGGAACAACTAATGTATGGGAACAACTAGTGTATGGGAACAACTAGTGTATGGGAACAACTAATGTATGGGAACAACTAGTGTATGGGAACAACTAGTGTATGGTAACAACTAGTTTATGGTAACAACTAGTTTATTGAACAACTAGTGTATGGGAACAACTAGTATATGGGAACAACTAGTGTATGGGAACAACTAGTGTGTGGGAACAACTAGTGTGTGGGAACAACTAGTGTATGGTAACAACTAGTGTATGGTAACAACTAGTGTATGGTAACAACTAGTGTAAGGTAACAACTAGTGTAAGGTAACAACTAGTGTATGGGAACAACTAGTGTATGGGAACAACTAATGTATGGTAACAACTAGTGTATGGTAACAACTAGTGTATGGGAACAACAAATGTATGGTAACAATTAGTGTATGGTAACAACTAATGTATGGTAACAACTAGTGTGTGGGAACAACAAATGTATGGTAACAATTAGTGTATGGTAACAACTAATGTATGGTAACAATTAGTGTATGGTAACAACTAGTGTATGGAAACAACTAGTGTATGGAAACAACTAGTGTGTGGTAACAACTAGTGTATGGGAACAGCTAATGTTTGGAAACAACTACTGTATGGTAACAACTAGTGTATGGAAACAACTAGTGTGTGGTAACAACTAGGGAATGGGAACAACTAGTGTATGGGAACAACTAGGGTATGGGAACAACTAGGGAATGGGAACAACTAATGTATGGTAACAACTAGTTTATGGTAACAACTAGTGTATGGTAACAACTAGTGTATGGTAACAACTAGTTTATGGTAACAACTAGTGTAAGGGAACAACTAGTGTATGGTAACAACTAATGTATGGTAACAACTAGTTTATGGTAACAACTAGTTTATGGTAACAACTAGTGTATGGTAACAACTAGTTTATGGTAACAACTAGTTTATGGTAACAACTAATGTATGGTAACAACTAGTGTATGGTAACAACTAGTGTATGGGAACAACTAATGTATGGTAACAACTAGTGTATGGTAACAACTAGTGTATGGTAACAACTAGTGTATGGTAACAACTAGTGTATGGTAACAACTAGTCTATGGTAACAACTAGTTTATGGTAACAACTAGTTTAGGGTAACAACTAGTGTATGGGAACAACTAGTCTATGGTAACAACTAGTGTATGGTAACAACTAGTGTATGGTAACAACTAGTGTATGGTAACAACTAGTGTATGGTAACAACTAGTGTATGGTAACAACTAGTGTATGGTAACAACTAGTGTATGGTAACAACTAGTGTATGGTAACAACTAGTGTATGGTAACAACTAGTGTATGGTAACAACTAGTGTATGGTAACAACTAGTGTATGGTAACAACTAGTGTATGGTAACAACTAGTGTATGGTAACAACTAGTGTATGGTAACAACTAGTGTATGGTAACAACTAGTGTATGGTAACAACTAGTGTATGGTAACAACTAGTGTATGGTAACAACTAGTGTAAGGGAACAACTAGTGTATGGTAACAACTAATGTATGGAAACAACTAGTTTATGGTAACAACTAGTGTATGGGAACAACTAGTCTATGGTAACAACTAGTGTATGGTAACAACTAGTCTATGGTAACAACTAGTGTATGGTAACAAATAGTGTATGGTAACAACTAGTGTAAGGGAACAACTAGTGTATGGTAACAACTAATGTATGGTAACAACTAGTTTATTGTAACAACTAGTGTATGGTAACAACTAGTGTATGGTAACAACTAGTTTATGGTAACAACTAGTGTATGGGGACAACTAATGTATGGGAACAACTAGTGTATGGTAACAACTAGTTTATGGGAACAACTAGTGTATGGTAACAACTAGTGTATGGGAACAACTAGTGTATGGTAACAACTAGTGTATGGTAACAACTAGTTTATGGTAACAACTAGTGTATGGGAACAACTAGTGTGTGGTAACAACTAGCGTATTTGAACAACTAGGGTATGGGGACAACTAGTGTATGGTAACAACTAGTGTATGGGAAAAACTAGTGTGTGGTAACAACTAGTGTGTGGGAAAAACTAATTTATGGGAACAACTAGTGTATGAGAACAATTAGTGTATAGGAACACCTAATGTATGTGAAAAACTAATGTATGGGGACAACTAGTATATGAGAACAACTAGTGTATGGGAACAACTAGTGTATGAGAACAACTAGTATATGGGGACAACTAGTGTATGGGAACACCTAATGTATGTGAAAAACTAGTGTATGGGAACATTTGTAGTCACATTTCAGTGAAATAAAACACAACTTGAATACTTTAATTAAAGAAAAAAAATGAAAGTGGTGTTACCAAAGTTTGATTCAGAGAACAACATGATCAAATAAACATATTCTCAAAGACAAAATACTAACAGACAACTACTGACAATAAACAGAATATACACTTTTTGGCTTTATGAGAATATGTTATGCAAAGTGATCTCAGATGCCAATATTCTGTCTTCAGAAATATTAATACCCAAACAAAACAAACTGAAAGAAAGATAAGGTAAGAAAACTAAAAAAGAAAAAGAGTAAAGCAGCTGAAACAAATTAAACCATTCAAAAATGCAGAAGGAAATGTCAAGCCTATAGAAGAGAACATGGTTCCCAGAACAACCAGAAGTGCCAGATGCACAAAGCTGTTTGATCAGCTGACATGTCTTCTCAAATAAAGCCATGGTTCATTCATGTGTGAAATTTTTGCTTTAAAAACCAAAAACATCTGAGGTACCTTACCATGACGGTGTCCAGATTAAGCTCCATGTGAACTAGGCCCTCACGATGGATGAAGTTGAGGCCTTGCAACAGATTGTGAACCAGGTCAGGCACAAACAGTTGCATGTTGGTCATCTTTCTTCTAGAAAAAACGTTGGCAGAAACCAGGTCACCCTTGAAAATAAAAGCAGAAACTTTGTCCACCATATTTTGTGTGTCCACCGTTTGACATCGGCTACTTTCTGTGGCCTTGATCCTTGTCATTCCCAGGAATGAGGCCAAGTTCATGTAGTCCAAGCATCTGTGGTAGGATTGTCAACAAACAACTGTATTTATTCCGTACATATTATTTCATTTAAACTTCAATGTAGTTTTTCTTCTTCTTTTTCTTTTATTATTATTATTAATATTCTTGTATTTACAGTCAATCTCCAGGTTAAAGAGGCCAAGCCATTTGCTTCACAACCTGGAGGTCACTGCTGTAATTGCTGAGCCTGAGCCTTTATTCCTAAAGGACAGTGTTACAGAAATTCCTTGTGGTTGTCGCTGTTAACTATCCCGCTGGTACTGTGTATGATACTGTCAGTGATAGATCAGCCCCTCTCTGTGAAAATTTTCTAGATATGATACTGTCAGTGGTAGATCAGCCCCTCTCTGGGAAGATTTTCTATAAATGATACTATGAGTGGTAGATCAGCTCCTCTCTGGGAATATATTCTAGATATGATACTGTCAATGGTAGATCAGCCCCTCTCTGGGAAGATTTTCTAGATATGATACTGTCAGTGGTAGATCAGCTCCTCTCTGTGAAAATTTTCTAGATATGATACTGTCAATGGTAGATCAGTCCCTCTCTGGGAAGATTTTCTATAAATGATACTATGAGTGGTAGATCAGCTCCTCTCTGGGAATATATTCTAGATATGATACTGTCAATGGTAGATCAGCCCCTCTCTGGGAAGATTTTCTAGATATGATACTGTCAGTGGTAGATCAGTCCCACTCTGGGAAGATATTATAGATATGATACTGTTAGTCATAGATCAGCCCTCTCTGGGAAGATATTATAGATATGATACTGTTAGTCATAGATCAGACCTCCCTGGGAAGATATTCTAGATATGATACTATCAGTGGTAGATCAGTCCCTCTCTGGGAAGATATTATAGATATGATACAGTTAGTCATAGATCAGCCCTCTCTGGGAAGATATTCTAGATATGATACTGTTAGTCATAGATCAGCTCTCTCTGGGAAGATATTCTAGATATGATACTGTTAGTCATAGATCAGACCTCTCTGGGAAGATATTATAGATATGATACTATCAGTGGTAGATCAGTCCCTCTCTGGGAAGATTTTCTAGATATGAGAATGTCAGTGGTAGATCAGTCCCTCTCTGGGAAGATATTATAGACAAAATGGGATCTGACTATGTGAAGTGAGGTTTGTCATTTTAAAATTCCTCCTTAACATTGAGACATGTCCAATACTGCACACTGCTGGTGATCACACTGTTAGTGTTCACAATCTGATATTGAGGTGTTCCTTTCTGCTCAGTGTTGGCAATAATCCTTTGAGCTTCAGGCAGAAATCTGTATCTTCCACCACAGGTCATTACACCGGTTACCAGAGAGACTTAACTGGATATTCTCCCACATATCATCACACTGGTTATCAAAGAGACAAAAGTGGAAATTCCCCCACATATCACCACACAGGCCACCAGAGAGACAAAGGTGGACACTCCCCCACATATCACTACACAGGCCACCAGAGAGACAAAAGTGGACATTCCCCCACCTATCACCACACAGGCCACCAGAGAGACAAAAGTTGACATTCCCCCACCTATCACCACACAGGCCACCAGAGAGACAAAAGTGGAAATTCCCCCACATATAACCACACAGGCCACCAGAGAGACAAAAGTGGACATTCCCCCACCTATCATCGACAGCTCCCCAGAGATGACTGGTAGAAACTCGAGTGCACTCACAACTATATATATACATCTATGACTATTGTCACATTTCCATCTTTCCAGACAAAGTGTTATACTGTGCTATGAAGAGGCACGGGACTCACAGGCCACGGCCATGGCGAGTTTGACTAGCAAGACCTGCCCGTTTTCGACTCCCAATTTGCGAATTATTAACAGTGATGTGGACATGTTGCTTCCAAGATCCTCAGAACGTCCTATCTCTCTGAGGGCAATGACAAAGTCTGCATGATCCATGGGGCGGCCATCCTTAATTAATGCAGCACCTGCCAGTCTATCAGCTCTCTCATTACCAACAACGCTTGCATGCCCTGGGATGAATATGAAAGTAACTGCACACACCGGAGAATTTTGTAACGACTCAAATGACTGTCTGCGTAACCAGCCTGCCTTGACCCGTCGGCTCATACTCAAAGAATCACTCAGCACACACACGCAGGAATAGTCCTGTGATCCCAGCCAAATTAAAGCCTGTGTCACCGCCATCACCATGCTGCTGGTAGTCATGGAGAAGGCACGGCTGGCTTCTTTAACTGTTCTGTCTGAAGAGTGAACTGTAAATGCCCATGCACTCTTATGTCCTCATATAACAGACCAGTATAAGAAAATCACTAATTTTGCATGGAATTTACAAATTTTGCTCTAATTTCTGCCCTAATTTTGAATTTGCTGGCTTTAAGAAATCTGATTATTGTATTCAACAATAGGGAAAGTGAAGAATAACAGATCACTGATAAAAATCAAGTGACAAAATATTTCTGAGAAAAAGAAATAGTTTACCTCAATGATGCAATTTCTGAGAGGATTGCTCGCTCATCCATGTCATAAATGTAAGTTTTGACAATGACCCTCTCTGCTTCGTTGTCAATTTTAATTGTTGCACCTTGCATTTTGGCCCAAAGACCTGAAACATATTATAAAATTAACTCAGTCAACAAAAAGAACAGGTGGTTCATAAATATTTGATTCAGTAACATAGTTCAAGGTAGGTAGTTATCATCATCATCATCATTATCCCATAACAATACGTGTCGTTGGGGCACCAGTTTCTATTGACTGTCTGATCAGCTTTCTACACCTTTGGCGGTTAACTGATGTGATTTGATTTGATTCAAGAACCAACATCACAGCACTCGGGGCATTCCCATAAGTTCTCCGTCCCCATCTTCAGCAGCCAGCGAAGAGTTCCGATACTAATGGTGTAGTAGCATTCTGATTAAACGTCCGTCTTGCCTTTCCTCTGAGCCTCGAGCATCTGCCAGAACTTCTTGTCACTCCCCCCTGCATCAATCTCACCAGACTGTGGTGATCCATCTGCTCCTACGAACTGTACACGCTCTCCCACAAGGCACTAACCACGTCTGCCTTATCATGTATCAGTATTCCACCAAGTTGTGCAGAGTCAGCCAGTCTGTCTGCCTGTTCATTCCCCAACACATCGGCATCCCTGGTGAAAAAATCCAGACAATACTCCTCACTCGTGTCCTCCGCAGCAAAGCATGCCGCTCTGCACGAAGCATACCTGTCCTGATCTTCCTCAGCATGCTTTCTGAATCAGTTACAATCATGATGTGTGTGTGTGTGTCGTGTTCTCTAGCCAGCGGGAAGCTGCAGTGACTGCCTCCACCTCCATTCTTAAGCTGGATGTTGTGGTATCATATGCTAGGCTCTCCTGTACCAAATGTCGACCATTACCTTTTGCTAAGAAGCCCCAAGCACTTCTTTTGCCTCTTGACACTGAACCATCTGTGTAAATGATCAAATCCTCCAAGCGAGCATTATCTTGAATTATTTGCTGAATTTCCACCTCTGTGGCACCTGCTAGCCAGTCTCTGCATTCCCAGCTCAGCGTGATTATGACTCTACACAAGTCTGACTGTTCAGGTGGCACTTTGACCCACTCTTCTCTTCACCTAATGTTCTCAAGGATGTCTGATTGTGTCTTCTGCCTGAGCCATCCATGACCTCCCTCTTATCAGTCACTGACTCTTATCTGCACCCAGAGCTTCATGCAGAGGGTGGTCTGTGTCTGCAGCTACCCTGTGATATGACTTCGCCTGCAGCACCTTGTGCCTACCTGCAACCATCCACAAACAAAAGATGTATCACATGCACACCACTGGGGTGTCTCTGGTGCAACCCAGTTGGCGGTTAGTTGTGATGGACTTAAAGGTTGCATGCCTGAGGCCTGTCTAGTCAGTCAGGTTCTGTAACCAGGTCTTTCTTGGTCTGCCTCTTCTCCTCTTTCTCTCTACTGGGCCCTGCAGTATTGTTTTTGAAAGGTCGTTAGATCTTGTTACATGTCCAAACACTGCATTTTTCGACTTTTCACAGTGGTTAAGAGAGGTTCATAGTTGCCAATATGCTGTATAATTTTATGGCAAACTTCCTTATTTGTAATGTGGTCTCTGTATGATATGCCAAGAATTTTTCTGAAACATTGCATTTCTAATGTTTGTATCTTTCTTTCAAGTTCAGCTGTTAAGATCCACGTTTCACAGCCATACGTAAATGTACTAATAGCTAGTGCTCTGAGTAATCAAATCTTAGTCTTGTATTAAATGTTTTTAGATTTCCATAACGTTTGATGCTTGGCAAGGATTGATGTTTTTTAACATAGATTGGTGATATTGTGCCAGCTGGATTATTAGTCATTACTTTTGTTTTCTCTACGTTTATTTCCATGCCACACTTGGTTGCTGTTTCATCGAGTAGATTAACAAGCTCGACTAGATCTTGTTCTTCTCCAGCTAACACATCAATGTCATCTGAATACCTCAAGTCTGTTATAGTTCAAACTCTGATACTAACTGTTTCATGATGTTGTTCTAGGGCATCAGTCATAATTCTTTCTAAAAAGATGTTAAACAGAGTTGGGGAGAGGAGGCAGCCCTGCCGGACTCCTAATGTTGATCGAAACCAGCTTCCCATTTGTCCGTTCAGCGTGACAGCACTGCTGGCCTGGGCTTAGAGCTGTTCTCTAGTATGTATGAGGGTTTTACCCATGTTGTACTTTCTCAGAGTGTCCTGGAGCGCTGCATGACATACTCTATCAAAGGTCTGTTGGAAATCCAGGAACATATGGTATAGATGTGTTTGGTGCTGGTGGTATTGCTCAGATAATATATGTACATTAAATCGGCTCTCCTTGCAACTTTGGACGGTAGCTGGATGGCTTAGATCGGCTTAGTGGGAGTTCTCTCCCTTGGCCACATTGCAAACAAGGCGCGGAAAAGTCACGAATCAAACAAGACAGTGAGGTTGACATCAGGGCTGCCAATGCTTGGTTGTGTCCCCCAGATCTCGGTTTTTCTGTTGACGCTGCGGGGAAATATGGGGTTTGTTTTTTCGGTGTTTTGCCGATCTGTATGCTTTATTGACCGATTAATTTGCGTGGTTAGGGGTAGGGATAGGGTTAGCGGTAGGATTAAGGTTAGGGGTAGGGTTAGGGTTAGGGGTAGCGATAGGGGTAGGGTTTGGGTTAGGGGTAAGGTTAGGGTTACGGTTAGGGGTAGGGTTAGGGTTAGGGTTAAGGGTAGGGTTAGGTTTAGCGTCACCATTTTCACATCTAACCCTACCCCTAACCCTACCCCTAACCCTACCCCTAACCCTAACCCCTAACCCCTAACCCTAACCCTAACCCTATCTCTAACCCCAACCCAAACCCTACGCAACCTTACACGCAACCGTATGATGATAGACACCCTCCGCAGCCCTACACGCAACGGTATGATGATAGGTAACCCTAGACGCAACCGTATGATGACTACGCAATTCTTTACGCAACCGTATGATGACTACGCAACCCAACATGCAACCGTACGCAACCCTACACGCACCCGTATGATGATAGGTAAGTATGTGACTTTTCCGCTCGTTGTTTTCACTGCGGCCAAGGGAGAGAACTTCCACTAAGCCAACCTAAGCCGTCCAGCTACCGTCTGAAGCTGCATATAATGTTACAAGGCACACCAACATTGATCAAGTTGATGAAATCTTCATTATAAATAACTCATCAGACATTCACAGTTAGAACGATGGTTTAACAACAAGTTCTCCAATCTACTTAATGAACTAACTTGCCCAACAAGTTTTCTCATTAACATTAACAAAATAACTTGTAAAACAATAAGTGGTAAAATCTACATTAAAGAACTAAGCTGTCTAACAGCAAGTTTTATAATCTATATTTAATGAACTAAGTTGTCCAACCACAAGTTTTATAATTATACAATCTTAAATGAGTTGTCCAACAATGAGTTTTGTAATCTACAGTTACAGTATTGAACTAACTTGTCCACAAACACATTTTATAGTCTACATTACCAAGCCAACTTGTCAAACAACAAGTTTAATCATCTAAATTAATGAACAAACTTCTCAAACAAATATTTTTATAATCTACATTAATAATCTACTTTGTCAAACTACAAATTTTATAATCTACATTAATGAATTAACTTGTCAAACTAGTTTTCTAATCTACAAATCAGAACTAAGTTGTCAAACTAGTTTTCTAATCTACAAATCAGAACTAAGTTGTCAAACAACAAGTTTTCTAATCTACAAATCAGAACTAAGTTGTCAAACTAGTTTTCTAATCTACAAATCAGAACTAAGTTGTCATCTAATCTACAAATCAGAACTAAGTTGTCAAACAACAAGTTTTCTAATCTACAAATCAGAACTAAGTTGTCAAACTAGTTTTCTAATCTACAAATCAGAACTAAGTTGTCAAACAAGTTTTCTAATCTACAAATCAGAACTAAGTTGTCAAACAACAAGTTTTCTAATCTACAAATCAGAACTAAGTTGTCAAACTAGTTTTCTAATCTACAAATCAGAACTAAGTTGTCAAACAAGTTTTCTAATCTACAAATCAGAACTAAGTTGTCAAACAGCAAGTTTTCTAATCTACAAATCAGAACTAAGTTGTCAAACAACAAGTTTTCTAATCTACAAATCAGAACTAAGTTGTCAAACAACAAGTTTTCTAATCTACAAATCAGAACTAAGTTGTCAAACAACAAGTTTTCTAATCTACAAATCAGAACTAAGTTGTCAAACAACAAGTTTTCTAATCTACAAATCAGAACTAAGTTGTCAAACAACAAGTTTTCTAATCTACAAATCAGAACTAAGTTGTCAAACAGCAAGTTTTCTAATCTACAAATCAGAACTAAGTTGTCAAACAACAAGTTTTCTAATCTACAAATCAGAACTAAGTTGTCAAACAACAAGTTTTCTAATCTACAAATCAGAACTAAGTTGTCAAACAAGTTTTCTAATCTACAAATCAGAACTAAGTTGTCAAACAGCAAGTTTTCTAATCTACAAATCAGAACTAAGTTGTCAAACAACAAGTTTTCTAATCTACAAATCAGAACTAAGTTGTCAAACAACAAGTTTTCTAATCTACAAATCAGAACTAAGTTGTCAAACAGCAAGTTTTCTAATCTACAAATCAGAACTAAGTTGTCAAACAACAAGTTTTCTAATCTACAAATCAGAACTAAGTTGTCAAACAACAAGTTTTCTAATCTACAAATCAGAACTAAGTTGTCAAACAGCAAGTTTTCTAATCTACAAATCAGAACTAACTTGTCAAACAACAAGTTTTCTAATCTACAAATAACGTGTCAAACAGCAAGTTTTCAGAACTAACTTGTCAAACAGCAAGTTTTCTAATCTACAAATCAGAACTAAGTTGTCAAACAGCAAGTTTTCTAATCTACAAATCAGAACTAACTTGTCAAACAGCAAGTTTTCTAATCTACAAATCAGAACTAAACTTGTCTAAACAGCAAGTTGTTCTAATCTACAAATCAGAACTAAGTTGTCAAACAGCAAGTTTTTTCTAATCTACAAATCAGAACTAAGTTGTCAAACAACAAGTTTTCTAAT